CAGCCTGGCATTTCTCATGATGTACTCTGCATATAGGTTAAATAAGCAGGGTGACAGTTTACAGCCTTGTTGCAGGACTGCAATAAGCGAGACTCTGAAGAAAAATGCAAATTAGTTTCTCCTTTTGCATTAAAGACTCAAGAATAGAACATTGTTTTGAAAAGCTAAATAAAATGGTAGCGAGTAAAAACTATGCTCCTGTCTAGAGACATTCTTTTTCCAAAAATTTTATCAGCAATAATGCTGAGGTCAGTATGTTATAGTAGAAAATAACAATTAAAGAGCTGGATGTTCTCTCAGGCATTTGGGTTGGGAGTTTAAACAAGCCCTGTTGGTGGATTTGTTTTAATCTTTATGGATTGAAAATGGAATAATTTAGATGTGGGGTGTGGGTTATTTTGTATCTTATGTTATTGTTTTTGCTTTTAATCCTTTGTGTACTGCCCAGAGTCACTGCTGTGAGTTGGGTGGCTAAATAGTTTAAATAAATAAGGGAAAAAAATAGTGCATATTGTACATTGTTCTGATGCAAAACATTATTCCAGAGTTTGAAATAGTTTGCATACTCAGTTTTTAGGAGTGTCTGGAAGGTCAGAATGGGAGCAGGGTGTGCAACCTAATTTGTAAGGGGAGGCTATTTCATGAAACAGGCCTTTGGCACTGCGAAGCAGCCCCCATGCACCTCCAGCCCATACCTCGCAGAAATGGGGAATCACCAACGGTTTCTCCTGGGACACATGGATTGGGCTTATGATTCCAGTTGGAGGAGGGAGTCCTGCAGATTAACCAAGCCAGGTTAATATTCCATAGATGACAGCTGGCACATTGAATTGCATCTGGAATCTAAAAGGAAGCCAATGCAGAGTTTAGAGCAGAGGTATAATATGCATATCACAATGGATGCCACTAAGAGCTGAACTGCTGCATTCTAGAGTAGTTGAAGCTTAAAATCAGAGCCAGTCTAGTTTTGTGGTTAAGGAGTCCAGTTTCTAGTCCATCCTCAGTATGGAAGCTCACTGGGTGACTTTGGGCATTTGGACATTTCTTTCAGGCCAATCTATTTTAGAGTTGTGGATTTTGGGAGGGAAGGGGAGAGGAAACTGACTTGTTTGGTGACTTGAGCTGCTGAAAGGAAGGCAGGATATATATCTAATAAACAGTCTCTCAAAAATTCCCACTATATTTTAGGAACATTTGTAGTTATTCAAATTCATGGAAATAAATGGTTTGAATAATTAAAAAATGGTTATGCTGTGAAAAGTGAGAGAGGTTCTCCTTTCCTTCTCCTATCTTTCATGACACTCCTAAATGTTTTAGTGCTAGATTGAAAGTGAAAAATAGTAGTTTATGTTCTACTTACATGAGTCACTGAATAAGGATAGGACATTGTATTTAAGTTGATTATTGTTCTGTCCATCCCTATTATGGCTTTGGATTAGACCAGTGTTGTCCAAACTTGGCCACTTTAAGATGAGCGGACTTCAACTTCCAGAATTCCCCAGCCAGCATGGGGAAATTTAGCAGGTTCTTTGACGCACCAGACAGCAAGGTTTTCTGTGTACTTGGTGACACACAACTCCTCAGACTACTATCTCCCACCACAGGGCATGCTATGACCTCTTTTACGAATTCCGGGGTGTTCCAAACACACCTCACTCTACAATGAGGCTGTGGTTTAAATATACTGCTTCAAATCTCACCTTGATCTTAGATAACATACAGTGGGGCAAAAAAGTATTTAGTCAGCGAGCAATTGTGCAAGTTCTCCCACTTAAAAAGATGAGAGAGGCCTGTAATTTTCTTCATAGGTA